ATCTTGTTAAAGGACGTGTTCATTTACTGGAAGTCTCCAGCATGCGGATCTGAGCAGTTCTCATGCTGTCTGCAGGCAGTCTGCCCCCCTGGCTGCTCTATTAATTTCTCTTAGCAAGCTCCCTGATTTCTATGCAGTTCCCTTGATGAAGTTAAGCACGACTCAAGTGGTTTTTCCGCTCGACAGAGCAGGTCTTCAACAGCCCTCTTCTAAATTGCCAGGGATAAAGTCCCGAGTCCAGCTCCCCCGCAGGTTTCCTCACCAACCTCTCCAAGAAACTCAATTAGCAGCAGCTGAAAATTGTGATGCTTTGCATCACCAGCATATTTTCCTGATTTCCCATGTCTCAGTGTCCCCCTTTCCTGTCTGCTGCTCCCTTCCAGCCATGTGACCATGGCAGCTGCTGTTTGTCCCTTGACACATTCCCCCTGCAATGCTCTGGTCCCTCTGGGTACAGCCAAGCCTTTTGTCCCTCATACCCACAGCCCCTGCACCCCTACCCTGATGCCAAACTGGGCATGCCCTGCCACTCTTGTGTTCCCTCACTCCCCCAGGCGTTGTGACATGATGTGCTGCTGGGACAATGCTGGCTCTCAGTGCCCCCTGACACCCCCTTGTCCCTGCTCTGGGCTGACTTTGCCATGCTCAGCTCTGTCTCAGTTCTGTGGGACAGGTATCCATGGCAGGGTGTTTCCCAGGAGCAGGGCCCTGGAGAGCTGCCCCACGGCACTGGAGCTGGGCTTTTTCCCGGTGTATCTCCCACTTGTGAGTGCCTGGCTCCCAGCTGATCCTCACCCAGCGTGCAGCAGACTGGGGGTGAAGCTCTGAGGGGTCCCTGATCCCCTCTCCGAAGGGTGGGGATGGCAGCAGGGAGGATGAGACCTGGAGCTAGGGCATGGGGGAGGAGGAGGGGTGAGCAAGCAGGCTGTGCATGGGCTCCCCCAGGGAAAACAGGGTCCCTTTGCATGCACAGAGCTGCTCCCTCGGGCTGGCCATGGCGCAGGCACTGCCTGCAGGGCTGAGGGACAGCCAGGGAGCGAGCAGGACAGGGCCAGTGCCTGTGAGCTGCACGGTGGTGCCAGCCGTGGGTGATGGATGGGGCTGTGTGGGGAGGGCAGTCAAGCCTTGCTACTCTGATGAGAAAATCATCGAGTGGCTGCAGGGTGCTTCAGGCAAGCTGCAAAAATAAGAGAGCAGCCAGGGCATTCTCTGAGCCCTTCATCATCCCCAGAGCAGCACAGTGACAGCCATGTCCAGCCAGGGAGCAAGCTCTGTCTGTATCCACCATGGGATTTACATTGACTGGGGTGGAAAGGCTTTGCCTCCCTGGGTCTGGCAGCACAGTGAGCAGGAGGGCTGAGGACTCCCAGGGCAGCTCCAGGGGCTCTGTGCCTCTTGACCCGGGGTTTCATGAGGATACAGGGAGAAAATGCTGAGGCGGGGACGGCAGGGTTACACGTCCCTCCCTAGACACCTGCCTGGGGACTCACCAACCCCCAGGTGACCGATCTGGTGACACCCCCAGCCACCCTTCCACCCACACCTCCCAGCCACGGCAGTTAGCGAGGGGCACAGCACCCCTGGGCACCCAGACAGACCCCAAAACCTTGGACCTCTCACCAGCCCCCTCCCGCTGCTTCCTGGCCAGGCACACGTGGGCAGGGAGAGGAGGAGGAGGAGGGATGCCGGGTGCTGCCTGCGTGCGCGCAGTCTGCTGCAGGGCTCAATAATTCAGGCCTGACACATTAAAGTTGCATGGCATGCAATTGCCATCTGCAACGACAGACTGCGTCAGGGCTGCTGGGTGATGAGCGCGGGCAGGAGGCGCTGGGCGGGCAGCGGTGGGAGGGTCCGGCAGCCCCCGAGGAGGGCAGGGTGAGGGCAACAGGCGGAGCACCTCTTTAGCGGGGACTGGCGTGGGAGGAGGTTGTGGCATGAAGCACAACACCAGTGTTTGGGATACACGTTTCCAAGAAACTCGTGTTGGAGCAGGGAGCGCTGGCCCGATGGCACTGACAGCCCAGGCAGGATGGAGCAGGGATGCGGCAATCAGGGTGATACTGCTCCCGGGGCTGCCGCCTTCTTGTGCACCCCCTGTGCCCACTGCATCCTACCTGTCAGGACGGAGGCTGTAGAGACTTATGCTGCCCCACACACGAGTCAAAAACTCTACCCAGCTGCGTCTGCCCCTGACCTGGCATGGCTCGAAACCCCCCCCCCCCCCCCCATCCCTCTCCAGCACTGAGGAAGCAAAGCTCCTCATCGGCTGTTCCGGGAGTTGGTTGCCATGGGGATGTCAGATGTACCTGGCTGTTATAAGGGATACTGTTGCCATGGTTATGTGGTTGCTGTGCCTGGCAGAGGCAGGGATGGAACGTCGGGAAAGCTGTTTACACTGGGAGGGTGGGACTCACAGAGAGCCCAAGTCTCTGAGCAGGAGGAGAAGGGAGGAGAGTCCAGCCTTCAGCCCAAGTGCATCCTCAAGGGGCAGGGGCTGGAGGCCATGGGGAACTGTGACAGAAAAGCTCACTAGACCCACAGGCACGGACACACTGGTGCTCCTGACCTTGCAACAAAGGGGAGGTGACTGAGGGGAACTGGAGTCCCCCACGGTGTGTCCCGGGGAGAGGTGGGAGAGGCACACACACCCCTTGTGCTGGGTGTGCCACAGGAGAGACCTGCTTCTCCATGCTTGGTGCCTGGAGCAGGGAGCAAAAACCCTTCCTGTCCTGCAGGAAAAAAAACCCTTCCTGTCCTGTACTGTGTGTTCTGCACTCGCACCGAGCTGCACCCTGAGCTAGGCATGGGTATCTGCCCACCCTGGGACTGCGAGATGAAGTGAGAATGGGGATTCCCAGCTCTCAGCAGGCAGCCCACGGGCCCCCAGGGACGAGCTGGGCTGGCAGAGAGTGCCTGGATTCCCTCCAGTGCTGCTTGGCTGAGCTCCCTCCTGGGCAGTGCGGTCAGATGCGTGGCCTGTCCTTGAGATGAAAAATGCAGTTGCTGGTTTAATTAAAAGGAGAGGGAGCTCTGAGCTGCACCAGCTGCCCAGAAAAGCAGAGTCTAGCAGAGCTGGTGTGTGGCTCCTCCAGGCTTCCCTGGGCAGCTCTCCTGGCTAAAACCCTTGCCCACCTCTTCCAGGACCCCTCAAGGGCCCAGTCCCATATGTGTCACCTCGTGGTGTCTGCTGTGAGGCAGGCCAGGGGCTGTGCAGCTGCTTGCACAGGCACTGCTCATCCCACCACTGGCTCTGTTATTGTAGAGTCTTCACAAATTTGACAAGCAGCGGGTTTGCACTTCAGCCCTGCAGCAGTGGGACAGGGGGTGAGGGATGGGTAAGGATGCTGCATGCAGCCCTGACACCTCCATGAAACTGGGATGAATTGGTGTAGGACAAGCTTGTGCCCAGTGGGCACTCCACTCCACCCTCTTGCTGATGTGAAAGCTAAAGCTGAGCTCCTCATCCTCTGGGGGCTGCTACTGCCAGTGGGGTGCAATTGGACTTAATTTAAAAATTAATCCTTAATCTGTCACCTCGCCAGACAGGACATTCAGTATGGCAGAAAGAGGGCTGAGGATGAGCTCAGGGGGAAGGAAAATGGCAGATGCAGGTTCCCCAGTCCTTGTACAATGACTGGGACTCCTGCCCAGGCTGCCCAGCACACTTCCACACCAGGCTGGCTCCCCATGGGCATAGTCCCCACCAAGGCCCAGAGACAGAGGCAGCAAACCCCTGAACTCACCAGCACTGCCATGGTCCTCACCAGCTCATCCCTCCTCCTGCTCTGCCAATCCCATCCCCACAGTCCCCACAAACCCCCACAAACCCCCAAGCCCACCCTGCTCTGGCCAGCTGGGGCCCAGCTCCCAAGAAGCAGTTTTAATTAGATTGCAATCCTATTACATAGCTGCCTGCCTGCCTGCAGTTGCTAATCCTGTTAAGCATCCAGTAAATCTCCCTGTGCCGGGCTCTGTCCCCAGGGGTACAGGGAGGGGGGCTGCTGGTGGGTGGGCTCTGCTCAGCCAGGATGTGGCTGGTAGGATGCAGAGCTTTGCCTCAGGATTCCACTGTGAAGACCCCTGCAGGGCTGAGAAATTCTCAGGAGATTGGGGAAGTCCCCAGAGGGGTGAGAAGTGTCAGTGAATCTTTCCCTGTCCTCCCTGGACCCCTCTGAGCTTCTGTGTCAGTGAAACCCCCCTGTCCTTGGGGTACACACACAGCCCGAGAGTGTGTCACCACACCATGGTCACCACTGGCTGCAGTGAGTGCTGAGCCCACAGGTTTGCCCTGAGCCAGACAAGGAGCAGGGGCTGAGAAAGGGCTGTCCCAGCCGGGTCACAGGGTGCAGCCCATGCAGTGCCCTCCCACTGGAGCCCAGTGCCCTGCAGAGACAGCGCTGGGGGCAACAGCAGGGACACAGGGTCACTATCTGGGTGGCAGTGACATGTGGGGTGCTGAGGCAGGCTGTCCCAGGCAGTGGGTGACACCAATAGGCTGTGGGCTCCTCGGAATGTGGCCTTTGAAGGCAGAGGCCTCTCAGAGCTCTGCACTGCTGTGGCAGGCAGCAGCAGCACTCAGTGGCACCTACCCCCCCTACAGCTATGGGCTCACCACGGTCCTGCAGGCTTGGAGAGGATCCTAGATGCCCTGGTACAGCATAGGTGCTCCCGGGTCAGACATGACAGCCATCTGTGAGAGCACAGTGCCCCAGCAAAGACATCCCAGCCTTGAAACCTGTCATGACAGGAGCCAAAACACTACGGTCTCTGCTCCCCACCTCCTGCCAGCAACTTTGCTCTGTTGGAGCTGCATCAGCTCTAGAGTAGCCACCACAGAGTGGCAGCTCTGACTGAGAGCCAGAGACTGTTGCCATTCCTCCCCTCCACACCAAACCACATCCCCTCAGCAACTCCATGGCCTGGCAAAGAGAGGAATGTGACCTAGCTCAGCCTTGAGACCCCACAGCTCTGCCCCAGACTGAGCCACAGCAACCCCTGGAGACAAGTTCAATCAGGCTGTAATTGGAAGAACAGGTTGGCACAGGTGGCTGTGTGCCTGTCCAGAGGAGTCCTGGCACCCCCAGAGAGGGGTGGCCAGCAAAGAGAGTGGGTGCCGAGCCCCACAGGACTGCTGTCCAGGACAGAGGAGTCTGAGCTGGTAGCATCAGCTGGTACAAATACTGTTGATGGAGGCCACAGCGGGGTCGACGAGGCCCAGCTCCTCCTGTTCGTTGACGCAGAGCTGGTACCCACACCCCTTGCGCCGGGGCAGCGGCCCCAGGCGCCGGCTGGGCTTGGCGCGGGGCGGCAGCAGGAAGCCGACGCTGCCGGCGATGAGCAGGTGCCAGATGCTGTGGATGTAGAAGTAGTTCTCCTCTGTCTCCACGAAGGCATAGAGCAGCACGGCCGCCGCCGCGATCAGCGCGCCCGGGCACAGGTAGAAAGCCCAGCGCTTCCAGGTGGGAGGGTAGCAGTGGCGGCGACGGATGGTGCGAGCCGTCTGTGGTGGGGAGAGGACAGGCTGGAACAGGGACACACAGCAGGGCCAGGCACGGCCTCTGTGTCATGGTGACACACTCCTCAGGAGCCAGGGAAGAGTGAGGGCAGCAGAGAGGAGATGCTGGCAGGGGCAGGATGGGGACATAAGGGACATCATCTTACCCAGGCGACGGCCATTATCCCCAAAGCGAAAAGGCTGGGCCCCAGAAGGTTCCAGAGCCCATGACGGTCCATCTGCAGAGCCATGGACAGGAGCATGGCCCCCAGCAGGTAGAGCACCTGTGGAGCAGTGGGGCACCCATCAGGATAAATCTCTCCCATGCCTGCCCTGCATGCTCCCTCCCCACACTTGCCTGCTTGACTATGGGCTGGAGCCGGGCCATGGCGATGACAGTGACCCAGACAGACATGAGAGAGCCCAAGAAGTCACAAAACTGCAGCACATCATACTCCATGATGCAGAACACCACAATGCCCGGCTGGTCGCAGGCATGGTAAAACTGGGGTAGCAGGAAAAGGCTGTGAGAGCTGCCCTGCACAGCCCCAGCCCTTTGCTGCCCCTCAGCTGCCCCACACACACTCACAGTGGAGAAGAACATGGTGAAGATGTAGACAGCAGCTTCTAGGAGGTAGTGGCTGCGGACAGCAATAGCCACGGGAGGCACAAACATGACATTGCTGAGGCACAGCAGCAGCGTGGAGAGGAGCTGGAAGCCGTAGGAGAAAGCCTCAGCATTGTCTGTGCAGCCCCAGCCGTTCCAGCCTGTAACCAGGGAGAGCTGCCATCACCACTGCAGCACTCGCAGGGTCTGGGGGGTGAGCAGGGAACCCCCTTTCCAGCACCCTGCAGAGACCTGGCACGAATGGACTACTGGGACACAAGTGGTATCCAAAGGGAAGGGAAGGGAAGGATGCAGGGTCCGTGGGTGCCGGGCTCAGCTCTCACCAGCCTTGCACTCGCAGGCAGCATACAGGTAGTTGTTGGTGCGCAGCAGCTTGCACTGGCCGTAGATGCCGCAGTCGTTGATGCAGGGTGAGAGGTAGGCGCGCAGGTACACCTCAGCTGTCACGTTGGTGCACGGCTCAAACCTGCGGGGTGGGAGAAAGGGGTCAGCTCTCACCCTGTGCCCTTGAAGAGCTCCTGCCTCTACCAGAGCCACCTGTCTCACCCAGACTTGGCAGGTGATGGGAGACCCAGGGACTGGGCAAGCTTGAGAATGAGATTCTTTGGTGCTGCACAGGTAGCTGAGAGCTGGTCCCCAAGGATCCTGTGTGCTTCAATTGTTTGTGCCAGCCTGAATGAGCAGGAGGAACGTGGCCATGCTTAAAGCCCCTCTACCTTTAGCAGCACACTCAGCTGGTTCCTATTTCATTTGGCTTTTGCTGTGCAAACACTACGCCCTGCCTTGCAATGGCCATGTGTGAGCCCATCAGGGAAGGACTGACTGTGGCTGGCAACTCAGCGTGAACTAGAAACGCAGCAGAGGAGTCAGAGCAGGCACACCAACCCCACTGCCCTTGGCTGCCCCTGCAAAAGACTGGGCACTGCCAGCACTCCTTAGCTTCAGCACACCCCGAGCACAGACAGCCCCACAGGCTGACAGCATGTCCAGCTGCTGGGTGGGCACACACAGGCACCCCAACATGCGCAGGTATGCACACAGTGCCAGCTACATGTGGGTCTGCTGTCCACTGACTGTGTCCTCACACAATCTAATCTGCACATGTGTGTGTGCAGAACATACACAGCCCTGACTGCTTCAGCAAAGCCCTGACTGCTTGTGCAAACCAGAACATGCCCACAGAGCTGGCTGCACATATGCACCCAAACATGCATGCAGCACCATCCGCAGTCATGCATCCTTGCACGTACAGACACACACACACCAGCCTCATTCTTCCACAAGGCTCCAGGCAGACACAGAGACCAGGAACAGAGCCACAGCAGTCCCTGGAGATGCTGAGCAGAGCCCCAGCCTGACCAGAGATGGCCCCTCACTGGCAGAGCAGAGCCCTGTCCTCCCAGCGACAGCCCGCTCCCCTCCCAGGCACGGGTACAGATGGGCCGTGCCGCGGACGGGGGCGGAGAGAGAGGCGCTGACAGATGCCCGGCGTTCGCGGGCTGACAGGCACTTCCTAACTGCGAGACAGAGGGAAGAGCCGCGGGGACCCGCAGATGGCCAGGCAGATGCGAGCCGGAGCCATCCGTGCCCACGCAGCGCTCGCACGGTGACACGCGGTGACACACGGCCCGCAAAGCCACGTGCACCCAATGAGCAGAGACAGCAGCACAGGGCACAGGTGCACCCACAGACCCACGGCACGCACAGGTCACGGTGAGGACACCCCCCTCGGGGCACAGGGAGGGGATGTGCTGCTGGGGCTTACCCGTGCTCCGTGGCACAGAGCGAGCGCAGGCTCAGGTACCAGCTGCCGGTCTGTGGGTAGGGGATCCGCAGGCGGCTGAGGCTGGCTGTGGCATTAACGGAGAGCAGGAAGCCTGCCAGAGACTCTGTGGGTCAGAAGAGCTCTGGGTGAGCAGAGCAGCCCCCTGCCCTGGACAGAGCTGGAACAGGGACAGGGTACCCTGTGCCAGGCTCCAGGGCCACATGCCCCCGTGGTCTCTGCAGCCTCCCCCCAGCCAGCCTCATGCAAGACACAGGGGTGGTGACCCCATGGACATGGCAGGATGGACATGCACAGCCCAGCCTACCTGTCTCACAGGTGACCGAGGCATTGTCACCAGATGTCAGTGGGACTCCATGGTTCAGACACCCAAACACTGTCACATTCTCACCACACAGGGAGCTCTGACGGCAAAGGAGATGGCCTTAAACCAGTGCCAGGGGTGCCCCCTGCTCTGACAGCACTTGGATCACAGCACACCAACGAGCAGTGCCCTAACCCACTGCCCTTCACACAAGAGCACCCCAAACCTGGGCCTTGGAGCACCCTAATCCATTCTCCATCACCCAAAAACTTCACAACCACTGCCTGTGACCCCAAATCCTGTTCCCTGCCCTGCTGAAGCCTTGACATCACCCATCTCCCATCCTGCCCCCCATCCCAAGCCACCCTGCCCCCTCCAGGGTGTATGTGGCCACCTCACCACGTTGAGCCGCAGCTCCAGGTTGAGCACTCCACCACTGTCCAGCACTGGCAGGAGGTTGATGACGAAGACAGCGGGGCGGTCGGGCGGCACCGATACATTGGGCCCGAAGAAGATGTAAAAGTGAACAGAGAAGGTGTCCAGCTCGTTGCGCAGCGTGGGTCGGACGGGCCAGCACCGCTCTTCGGTGTGCAAGGTGACAGGGATGGGGAGCGGGTGCTTGGTGTCGTTGGGGCTGGTGGGTGGAGGGCTGTCCCCCAGTGCCAGCCCACCCGCCGAGCCGAAGGAGTGGGGCATGTTCATGGAGGCGCTGGAGGGCAGGAAGGGAGGCCGGGCCAGGCTGGGTCGGGAACAGTCTGGAGGGACAGAGTCATCAGCCTGGGCACCACACAGCCCCAGCCCACTCTTCATTCCCACCTTTCCTTCTTGCCCGCCGTTCATCCCCATTTGCAACCCAGCCCCAACACCTCACAGCATTCCCATCCCAGCAGAGCTGAGTATAACCCTGTGCCCAGCTGCAGACAGATCCTGAGGGCATCCTTTAGCCCCCACACCAAAGCAGAGTAAAGACCATGCCTCCACATGCACCCTCACCTGTGAGCTGCACGGTGACCTGGAAGGAGACAGTGCCCGGCACCCCAGGGTGTTTCTCCACCAGCACGTAGTACCAGTGCTGCCAGAAGGGCAGGTCCTGTGCCAGCTGGCAGGGAGTGTGTTCCCGGCAGTCCAGGGTTGTGGAGTTGTGCAAGGGAGGAGCCTTGGCCCGCACACGCAGCCAGAGTGGGCAGCCCTCGGCGCCACGGCACCGCAGCACCTCCACGAGCACTCGCGATGTGTAGCTGGGCACAAAGACCCTGTGGGACAGCAGTGCCAGGCTGTGCCCATCACTACGGACTAACAGGGCTGGGGAGGGAAGCCAGAGGGATGGGACACCCCCATCTCCCCACCCTGAGAATGCCCCCTCCGTGGGTGACCTTCTCACACTCACTTGTAGAGGCAGGAGCGGTTGTGGGGGGCCATGCTCTGCTCGGTGACATGACCGGGGTACAGCACAGCGATGTTCACCAGGCGCTGCACGATGAGCTGTGGCTGGAAGAGATACTGGCACTCCTCGTAGAGCCCCTGCAGCAGAGGAGAGTCAGCACAGGGCAAGGGGCACAGGGCACTGCCCCCACTTGGGACACCTGCCCTGGGCACTGCCAGCCCAGAGCAGTCAGACCCCAGCCCTGCCCCACCATGGTCCCTCCAGGCCCTTCACCTTAACAGAGATCTTGCCCTCATCCTTGGGCAGGTGGGCAGCCAGGAACCAGTCCCCGGGCAGTGGGCTGGTGACATTGAAGACGCCTGTGGTGCGGTTGGGCAGGGTCCAGGTGAGGGTCAGTGCGAAGGAGCCAGGGACGGCCGTGTCCCTGGGGAAGTGCGTGTGCAGTGGGTTAATGACAGATGGAGCCCCTGAGCGGAAATACCTGCAGGAGAGACAGCAGTCAGCAGGGTGTAGGCTGGGCAGTGTGTCCTACATGTGAGTGTCTTCCTCTGTGCTTGAAGACATCATGGAAGCTGGGACCTTTCTGGAGACTGAGCCTTCCTGAGTGGGTGTTCAAGCAAAACAGTTCATCTGTGAGATGCACAGAAGAGTGGAGCCTGCATTGGTCCTGGGAAGATGAATCATGGGGAGAGAGCGTACATGTTGTCTAGGTTTTGGCTGGGATAGGGTTCATTTTCTTCTGAGTGGCTGGTACAGTGCTGTGTTTTGGATTTAGTATGAGAACAATGTTGATAACACACTGACGTTTCAGTTGTTGCTCAGCAGCGCTTACCCTAAAGCCCTTTTCAGTGTTTCATGCTCTGCCAGAGAGCGGGTGCACAAGATGTTAGAAGGGAGCATGGCCTGGAGAGCTGACCCAAACTGACCAAAGTAATATTCCATACCATACAGAATACCATTCTGTTCCATATAGAGCCTCCTGGCCGGTGTATAAACTTGGGAGAGTTGGCATGGAGCCACCAATCACTGCTGGGGGACAGGTTGGGCATCAGTCAGCATGTGGTGAGCAATTGTGTGATGAATCACTCATCTTTCTTGGGTTTTACTTCTCTCTCTCCTTTTTGTTACTGTTGTTATTATTATTATTTTTGTAGCTGTTTTATAATTAGTGATATTGGCATATTTATTTTGATTAGTTAACTGTTTTTATCTCAACCCACGAGTTTTACTTTTTTTTCCATGATTCTCCTCCCCACCGGGGGAGCAGGGGGGATGAGCAAGCAGCTTCATGGTACTCAGTTGGCAACCTGCTCTAGTGGAACATGTCCCATGGTAGCAGGTTGGAACGAGATGATCTTTAATGTCCTTTCCAACCCAAAGGATTCTGTGGTTCTATGATTCTTTGACTCTATAGGTACACGTGCTTGTGCAAGCAAAGAAGCAGGCAAGAGCAGGCAAGCTGTGGGGCAAATCCAGGCAGGAGCAGCAGAGGCAGGCAGGAAGGATACAGGCAGGCTAGGCTGCTTACTCACACGGTGATGCTGCGGTCTGGACATTGATCCCCAAAGGTGCCACCTTGCTCCTTGAAGGTGATGAGGTTCCAAACAGCGATGACTGTGTCCTCGGGAATGTGGAAGTGGAAGAGCTCGATGCTGGCAAAGGAGCGGAAGGGGCTGAGCTTGCGTGGTGTGCGGGTGAAGTAGTCGGTCACAAAGAGCCCGTCTGCAAAGGAGACCCAGGCAGCTCTCAGTGGGGCAAAGGGCTGGGGAGGGGGTTGTGGAGCACCCCCCCAGAGCAGGCCAACCACCCAGGCTCTGATTATGTCACAAGCATCCAGCAGCCTGGAGGCAGGAGGGGCTGGGACAGTGCCATTTCAGTGAATGCCCAGGGCTGATGTCAGCTGTCCCCAGCTGTGTCACCCAGCCCTGGCACAGTCTGCATCATTCCTGGTTCAGCACAGCCTCAAGTCTGGTTCATCAAGCTGTGGGCACTGATTTGCAGTAGCCTGAGGAGCCCATGGTCCTGGCTGCTCATGCTCTGCTTCCTGCATTTTACCTCTAATAGTAAAGGGATATTTTTCATGGCTTCAGCTATGCCCTAGCAGGTCAGCTCCCACAGGAACACACCTTCCCCCTCATCTGCCTGCTGGGGAGGCTCAGCACCGAGCCCATCATAAAGTGCAGACTTTCATCCTCGAGCTACAAGAAGAAGGAGCAGGCAGAGCACTTCCTGTGCTGCCTTCCAGCTCTCCCATGGTTTGTGGAGGAGGAACGGTGCACATATGTGTGCACATATGCACACGTGGGTGCAGTCTGCGTGCACGGCAGAGTGGAGGCGTGCAAGCCCACGCCCAAGGGGGTGTGTGCCTGTGCACAGCCCCATGTCTGAAAGATGCTTCCTGCAAGCCCACAGCACAGGTGGGGGCCACCTCCCCCTGACAAGCTGCCTGACAGGTCGATTTTCAGGAGCCCCATCAGCAGTGAGACAGCCACTTCTTTGTCACAAGAGAGAGCAGGACCAGAGACAGCAGCCATAACTTCACCTACCATTACCACACTACACCAGTGCCAGCCTGGAAGGCCCATCCATTTTTCTCTAGAGACACAGCAAGAATGAGATACCCCTCTTCACAAGCTGCTGGAAAGGGGGAGGCCAACAGAGGGTGGGCTGGGAGCAGGTCTGTGCCCAGGAGGACTTGTCCAGCACGAAGTGGGACAGCTGAGAAGAGGGTCTGCTTTGCACTACATGTTCTTGGCCGGGAGTGTGCGCATGTGCTTGTATGCACGTGTGTTTGTGCTGCGTGTGTGCAGCCCCAGCAGGCTGTACACTGACATGCATCTGCTCCCTTGTCTGGAACAAAGGCAGCTCCCCCTCCCCTTCACTCCCAGCCGGCACAAGCCAGGCATGAAGCACCTGTCTCCTCAATGCAAGAGCATTCGATCCCAATTTCTCCACCAGGAACCACCTGGTCACTCCACAGCCCCACGTGGGGACAGTGACCTGGCAGGGGACCCCAGGGAGGGTGTTGAACACAACTCCAGAAGGGGAATTGGGGGAAGGACCCAGAGCTATCCAGTCCCAGTGCAGCTCCTCCAAACTCTCTCACCCAGGGCAAGGTGAGGGAACTGGTTGAAGCAGAGGGTCAGTCTGAGGAGGCATGGCAGTGCAGCCAGACAGGGGAAAGGTGCTGGAGGATGGACTGCGATTACTATCCATGGAAGCACAGTGGATGGAAGGAGAAAAGCCAAAGCCCCCCTGCTTCAGGCCGCCAGCGGCCAGAGCCGCAGGACACCAGCCCCGCGGCTACAGCCTCAGGTCGCGGCCGGCGGTCAGCACCGCGGACAGCTCCGCGGCCGGCGGTCAGCACCGCGCACAGCTCCCGCTGCCGCCCCACCGCGGCACCGAGCACCGGCAGCCCCGGCCAGCTTCCCTCCTTCCCGGGGGACGCCCCTCGAAGCCCCCAAGTATCCTTCCGCATCTCGGTCACTAAGCCAGCTCCCTGCCCCACAGCCTGCTCTTGGTCTCATATTGTCGTTGATGTATCCCCCGCACATCCTGACGCCCCGCTGGACACACACCCCCGTTTCTGCAGGCTGTCCATCTCCGCTGCCCCCTGCATGCACACAGCCTCCTGCCCTGCATCTGCAACCCCCCGGGCCCACTCACTGCCCACGCACACGCCTCCGTCCCAGGATGTTCCACTGCCCGTGAACTGCCTGCGTCCTCCCCGCACGCACAACTCTGCACCCCACTGCTCATCTGTCTCCATGCCCCACTGCATGGGTACACCGTGCCCCATTGCATGCACATCCACGCATCCCATTCCACAGACATCCAGTACCCTGTACACAGGCGTCCCTGTAGCCCATTATGCAAAGAGCCCCCCTGCACACGCATCTCTGCGTCCATTGCACCCACCTCATGTCCCATTGTAGGTGTACCCTGTGTCCCATGACACCCCACACCCAGGTGGGGACACCTCTGTACCCTACTCTGCCGGCATATCTGCCCCACACCCCACTGCACGCTGGCCCCATCCCTTGTGCCACACTCACCGTGTCCCATCACATGTGCACCCCACATCCCAGGATGACATCCCCCCAAAACTGTGCCCTTGTGCTCCATTCTCACCCGCACCCTGCCCCACTGCATGCAAACCTCACATCCCATTGCTCGTGTAGCTCATCCCAAGCTACGCATTCCAAGTGCATCCCCTGACCCCCACCACATGGCGCCCCGCACCCGCCACCTGCACCCCTTCTCCTCACTGCATTCACCCACTCCCTGCCCCACTGCACGCACACCCCGCATCCATTGTTCGTGTACTTCACACCCATCCCAAGCTCATCCCTCTGCCCCGTGACTCACACCTCCAACCCCTCCTGCCCACCGCGCACACCCCCGTGCTCCATTCCCACTTGGCCCCCGCCCCACTGCGTGCACCCCTCACATCCCATTGCTCTTCTGTCTCACGCCCACTACACGCTCATCCCGCTGCCCCACGGTGCGCTGTCCTGTGCTCCGCCGCACGGACCCCGCGCCCCGTGCCTGCATCCCCCTGCCCACCGCGCACATCCCCGGCGCTCCAATCCCACCCCCCGCACTGCGCGCACACCCCACATCCCACGGCTCCCGTACCTCACACCCATCCCAAGTTCATCCCCTGCGTCCCGCCGCACGCACCCCCGTGCCCCACAGCTCCTGCCCAGCGCACACAGCCCCGCGTTCCGTCCGCAGCCGCCCCCCGCCCCCACTGCGCGCACCCCCACACGCCACGGCTCCCGCACCTCGCACCCATCCCGAGCTCATCCCTCGCGTCCCGCCGCACGGAGCCCCGCTCTCCGCTCCGCCGCCTCTCCCACCCGCGGCACACGCGTCCCCCGCGGTACCGC